CTTTCAGCCAACAGTCATATCACGTTGAATACGCAAGTTCTCGTCCGATCACTTAAGCTAAGCAACGTTGAGCGTGGTTAGTACTTGGATGGGTGACCGCTTGGGAACACCACGTGCCGTTGGCCTTTTTTTTTGTTTTTTTTTTTAATCTAGAACGATGAATCTATGTTTACTCCATTTTACAACTAGTTAATCTTCCATTTTCCATCATTGGTGGAACCATTTATTTTCACAGTGGACATAACCGGACGGTGTCCGATCAAACATTTAGAATGCGTTCACAATATTTATTTGTAGACTTTCAGTCAACAGTCATATCACGTTCTGTGGAGTCTTTCTCGAACAGTGGTAGAAAGCAGACGTGTCTGCTGAATCTCCAGATCACTGCCGAGACTAACAATCCAAGCCCTTGTAGGCTCAGTGTTAAAGCATCAAACAGTAAATCCTAAGTTATTAACAATATCATAACTGTCAAAGACCAAACTCCTGTAAAAAGGAATGTGCTGCGGAGGGTAGTTGCTACTCCACCACCTATTAGCATGCATCATGCTAAGGGAAGAGGCTGTGGCCTGTTACAGAACACCAGATCAACTAATAAAAGAAAGCTGATCGAAGCAGACTCGGATAATTCAACAGGTCTCTCTGGAAAAATTTATAAACCTAATGTTACGGCAAACTACATTGACAAAAAAATAGAAAAGGAACTCAAAGAAGCAAGAGCATTATACGGGAAACGAGGATCGGGCCCAACCCCCCCCCTCATATAAAATAACACCTACTCTACGTAACAGAGGAAATACGATGGGTAATAATTCGCAAGGAACTCTCATAAATTCGGAGAATAACCAGCAAAATTTTGATAATCAAAATCCATGGATTCCACCAACCAAAAAAAAACAATGACATAACGAAGAGCATCCGATACCTCACCTGCGAAATCCCCAACTGAGGACATCAACCACTTCGAGGCATTACTTCACATTTCTGATGAAGAAGGGAGCAAGACAGAAGATCGGACCACAGCTGAACCATCGCAACAACACACCCAGAAAAAGGGCGCAAGTCAACGACCTCCCCCTATACACACAACGGCGGTATCTCTGAAGGACTTTGCCAGCCTATTAAATACATTAGATGGTAACGTTAAAAATAAATTTTACTTGAAACAACCCAAGGATTCAAAATATGTCTCTATTTTTGGAGCTGATACCGATATATATAAGTCATTTAAACTGTTATTAAGATCCAAAAACACTAAATTTTATACTTATATACGCGTAAAAATGAAAAAATCAAATCTATAGTATTAAAAAACCTCTACGGCAATTATACCGAAGAGGAAATTTTTTAAGAATTAACAGATCTTAAATTAAGAAGCATAGAGATTTTAAAAGTTACTAAAATCGTTTTTAGTAAAAAATCAGACTACTTTGGTTTTTTGGTACAACTTTCCCCAGACTCAAATATAGCCGATATTATTAAAATAAATAGATTATTATATCAGAAAATCTCTTGGGAACCCCTCAAAAAAAAACTCTATCCCAACGCAAACGTTGTCAACGACTACGCCATTCCAGCAGCAGTTGCTCTCTGGATTTTCGCTGCGTCAAATGCAGCAATAACCATGAGCCAGGTAAATGCCCTCTTGGCAAAGACGCGGATAAATTATTATTAAAATGTGCAAATTGCAAAATGAATGGGCACCCAGCGTATTACAAAGGATGTACAACAAAGCCTCGTAAATCGTTACTAACGATCAACAAACAGTCTTGAAAAACCGAACAGGTAAAATAAATAATATTTCTAAAACCAATCTTAAACTCTCTTATGCGGAGGCTATGATATCAAGGAAACAACTAGTACCTTCATCTAATATGCATAACTCGGCTTCTCGGAAAATAAATATAAATCCAAGTATCAACCAATCGCAAGAACTCTTAAATTCTCAACAAAATTTTGAACCGACAATCCCTTCATGGATAATTCAAATGAGACGAGAAGTAATCTGTGCTATTTCATCCTCGATACATTCCTCCCTAGAACCGATTAAGGAAGAAGTGAAGATTAATAAAAATAATATAGAGAAAATTATGACTCACCTCAATCTCAATTGCGATGGTAAATAATAACCCTCAGTTCTCCAACACTAATGAAACCACATCCTTCATTGATGGATTAAGATATTTTCAATTAACGTCAATTCAATTCTGAGATTGCAGAAAAGATTTTTCCTGCAATAGATACCTATGGCATAAAATATTCTAAGCACATTTTAAAAGTTCGGTGTTTCATTATTCGATTATTTCCACATTCAAGAAGGCTAGTCTGACCGATGATGGAAAATGAGAGGTTAACTACGTGTAAAAAAGATTAAACATAAGCGCATTCTAAATAAAAAAATAAAAGAAAGGGGCCAACGGCACGTGGTGTTCCCAAGCGGTCACCCATCCAAGTACTAACCACGCTCAACGTTGCTTAGCTTCAGTGATCGGACGAGAACTGGCGCACACAACGTGATATGACTGTTGGCTGAAACTCTGCAAATGAATATTGTGAACGCATGTTAAAAAAAGGTTGTACCACCGTCCGATTATTTCAACTTTTAAGAAGAATGGTCTGACCGATGATGGAAAATGAAAGATTGACTACTTGTAAAATTGATTAAACATAGATCCATCGTTCAAGATAAAAAAAAACAAAAGAAAAAGGCCAACGGCACGTGGTGTTCCCAAGCGGTCACCCATCCAAGTACTAACCACGCTCAACGTTGCTTAGCTTCAGTGATCGGACGAGAACTGGCGCACACAACGTGATATGACTGTTGGCTGAGAATTTGTAAAAACGATGCTAAACCCATTCTACAAATTTTCTTGCAAGCATCGTAGATCTAGTCCTCCTTTTCTTACCTCCAAACACACCGTCAAGTACTATCATTATTTTAACTCGTGAAAGCCTAACTTTGATTCTTCAGTCTCAATAATTATGGATTATTTTAGCATGAACTTATTGCCAATTGATAAATTATTGAACATTGTATAACTCATAAAAATTTATTTAAATTGTAATGTTGAATACTTGAAAGGCTTCCATGGAGTTATGGATATTCTCTGGGCATGGAAATATGACGGAGCCAATTGAGTAGCTTTCGAAACATTTACAGGGGTTTGTCCGTATGAGGTGTGGGTAAGCGACACAGACCTCCTATGAGTTACAAACTCATACTGCACTTTTATTGCATAACCTACTATGGCTGTGTAACGAATCTAACCGTTTAGAAAATTATTTTCTCCTATGTTAATCTTGTATTGCTCGTTGCTCATTGTCCAGGGTACGAATTGTTCAAGATTAGAGCATAAGTTCAACGCGTTCGCAAAGTAATAATTTTTTTTCCCTTTTCACTCCAATTTTCTTCCTTGAATTTCAGGTCTCAAAATTCTTCAAACTTTACAAAAAATCGACTTTTCTTTTTCAATACTCAATCCCCTCGGTTTCCCAGAATTTCTCGAGACCACCGCTTCCGTGTTCTGTCTTACTCCCTAGTGTCCAGTACCTCCCTGGGTTCCATGCTGGGCTTCGTCTAATTGTCGTGGGTGGATCAGTTGGAGTCTAATCAACGTCGAGTCCCTAATTTCTTGCCCTTGCCTTATCGCGAATCCTTCAATCCCGGATGCGATCACCGACAGAGACCCCAACATTATAACCCTTCTAGTTTAAGGCTCTTCCGATCCAATTCTTAAAGGTTAAGGAGATCACGATTCCCCGGACCCTATACCCAAGCCTGGACCGGCTCGTATGCACAAGAAACGGGACTTCCTGGACCGATCCAGAATGAATCCCAGTTGTTGGTGGCTAGACGAGCTAGCCTAGTATCAAGCCGAGATTGTCCTGAGATTGGGCAAAGAGTGCTGATCGCCCAAACCTGAGAAGACGGTACTCGTCACCATCTCGTTGGTGCCTATCGACTCTCCTCTCCACTGTATATATGTAAATCAGTAGTCGTTATTTACTTTTAAGTTATTATCAAGCTCTGGCACGATAAGTGTTTTTTTAAGTAGGCAGATCCCATGCTGCCAATATGCCCCTCAGGGCCTTTATCACCATCTCTCCGTTAAATTATTAGTTGGTTAGTTTCCTTACGAGTGTTGTTATTCAAGTCTTCATCAATGGTAAAATGATTGGACTTTTCTGATGATCCGCGGACGGCTCGATATGATGTCCAGAGCTCATCGTCCAATGCATTATTGTTTACTCCAATTCCACCTTCTTGTGATTGAAGAACCTTTGCAAAACAATTGAAAGCCCATTCATTGGGCTCGATATCACCATCCATTAATTCGTTGAAGATCTCTTCCATTCTTTACAATTCAGGGTTTTATATTACTTTGTAAACACCGAACATCAGAACACTTATGGCTGTATTCAATTTCTATTCACTATTGCTAATGCTTAAATTTTAAACTATGAGTTGACAGTATAGATACCGGCTGCGTTCTTATAACAATGTCAGATATTGAACTGATGAGGGGACTGTAACCAAGTCCTTTGTGCGTAACTGTAAATTATGCAACAGTTGTGATATATTACTCCACGGTTTCGAAATCGTAACATAATCGTGCATTCACACACCCAACAACAGTAATGTAAGTTGGGAGTTAAACGCACGCGTAATATAAAGTCTTTTTCGACTTGTGGGATTGTACTACTCTTACACTTTCCCTTTATCGTAAGGAAGGGTACTCTTTCGGGCCATTTACCGAAAATACCTATTTCAGATTCATGCAGCTGTTATCGGTGTGCTTGATTCTTTCGAATACGAAGCGAATGTATGCATGTGTTTCCATCAAGCATGTAGAATATACCATGGGTAACGATGGGCAAGTGTTCCCATTATGCAGCAAAACAGCCTTCAAACTGGTGCATTGATGAGACGATGAATAAGCGCTATTCTTCTGGCTTATGAACCTTACCCATGCTCTCCATCAATCTATCGACGTCTGAACAATAGGACGGAGTTGGCTCTTCGGTGAAGAATTCATGAGGACTAGTTTCGCGAGGGTTCTCCATCATTTAATCCTCGAAAATTAATCCTTGACAAAGGAATTATAGACATGTTATATCCAGAAAACTTTA